GGGGGTTGAGCTTTGGCTCTTTGGTCCCGCCTTTCAACTGTCAATCAACTGGTGTACAGATTCCTGAGCCTACTGGGCTCTATCATATCTACATTTAAAACTGTGTATGGAGTCAGCCTCCACCACATCACTGCCTAATGCATTCCACCTGTTAACTACTCTGACATTGAAAAAGTTCCTTCTAACGTCTCTGTAGCTCATGTGGGTACTCAGTTTCCACCTGTGTTCCCTTGTTCGCGCCCCACCAGTGATGAATAGTTTATCCTTGTTTACCCGGTCGATTCCTCTGAGGATTTTGTAGGTTGTGATCATGTCTCCCCTTACTCTTCTGTCTTCCAGTGTCGTAAGGTGCATTTCCCGCAGCCTTTCCTCGTAACTCATGCCTCTTAGTTCTGGGACTAGTCTAGTGGCATACCTTTGGACTTTTTCCAGCTTCGTCTTGTGCTTGACAAGGTACGGGCTCCATGCTGAGGCCGCATACTCCAGGATTGGTCTTACATATGTGGTGTACAAGATTCTGAATGATTCCTTACACAGGTTCCTGAAGGCTGTTCTGATGTGTGTGTGTGTGTGTGTGTGTTTTTACGGGGGTTGAGCTTTGCTCTTTCGGCCCGCCTCTCAACTGTCAATCAACTGTTTACTAACTACTTTTTTTTTTCACACCACACACACACACACCAAGAAGCAGCCCGTGACAGCTGACTAACTCCCAGGTACCTATTTACTGCTAGGTAACAGGGGCACTTAGGGTGAAAGAAACTTTGCCCATTTGTTTCTGCCTCGTGCGGGAATCGAACCCGCGCCACAGAATTACGAGTCCTGCGCGCTATCCACCAGGCTACGAGGCCCCTGTGTGTGTGTGTGTGTGTGTGTGTGTGTGTGTGTGTGTGTGTGTGTGTGTGTGTGTGTGTGTGTGTGTGTGCTCATGGGGAAACTTAGGTACTGGTGCCACACAGGTGTTCCTGGTGCTGGTGCCACACAGGTGTTCCTGGTGCTGGTGCCACACAGGTGTTCCTGGTGCTGGTGCCACACAGGTGTTCCTGGTGCTGGTGCCACACAGGTGTTCCTGGTGCTGGTGCCACACAGGTGTTCCTGGTGCTGGTGCCACACAGGTGTTCCTGGTGCTGGTGCCACACAGGTGTTCCTGGTGCTGGTGCCACACAGGTGTTCCTGGTGCTGGTGCCACACAGGTGTTCCTGGTGCTGGTGCCACACAGGTGTTCCTGGTGCTGGTGCCACACAGGTGTTCCTGGTGCTTCAAGTGATGGAGGCAGACACCATACACAGCTTCAAGTGATGGAGGCAGACACCATACACAGCTTCAAGTGATGGAGGCAGACACCATACACAGCTTCAAGTGATGGAGGCAGACACCATACACAGCTTCAAGTGATGGAGGCAGACACCATACACAGCTTCAAGTGATGGAGGCAGACACCATACACAGCTTCAAGTGATGGAGGCAGACACCATACACAGCTTCAAGTGATGGAGGCAGACACCATACACAGCTTCAAGTGATGGAGGCTGACACCATACACAGCTTCAAGTGATGGAGGCAGACACCATACACAGCTTCAAGTGATGGAGGCAGACACCTTACACAGCTTCAAGTGATGGAGGCAGACACCATACACAGCTTCAAGTGATGGAGGCTGACACCATACACAGCTTCAAGTGATGGAGGCAGACACCATACACAGCTTCAAGTGATGGAGGCAGACACCATACACAGCTTCAAGTGATGGAGGCTGACACCATACACAGCTTCAAGTGATGGAGGCTGACACCATACACAGCTTCAAGTGATGGAGGCAGACACCATACACAGCTTCAAGTGATGGAGGCAGACACCATACATACACAGCTTCAAGTGATGGAGGCAGACACCATACACAGCTTCAAGTGATGGAGGCAGACACCATACACAGCTTCAAGTGATGGAGGCTGACACCATACACAGCTTCAAGTGATGGAGGCAGACACCATACACAGCTTCAAGTGATGGAGGCAGACACCATACACAGCTTCAAGTGATGGAGGCAGACACCATACACAGCTTCAAGTGATGGAGGCAGACACCATACACAGCTTCAAGTGATGGAGGCAGACACCATACACAGCTTCAAGTGATGGAGGCTGACACCATACACAGCTTCAAGTGATGGAGGCTGACACCATACACAGCTTCAAGTGATGGAGGCAGACACCATACACAGCTTCAAGTGATGGAGGCAGACACCATACACAGCTTCAAGTGATGGAGGCAGACACCATACACAGCTTCAAGTGATGGAGGCTGACACCATACACAGCTTCAAGTGATGGAGGCTGACACCATACACAGCTTCAAGTGATGGAGGCAGACACCATACACAGCTTCAAGTGATGGAGGCAGACACCATACACAGCTTCAAGTCATGGAGGCAGACACCATACACAGCTTCAAGTCATGGAGGCAGACACCATACACAGCTTCAAGTGATGGAGGCAGACACCATACACAGCTTCAAGTGATGGAGGCTGACACCATACACAGCTTCAAGTGATGGAGGCAGACACCATACACAGCTTCAAGTGATGGAGGCTGACACCATACACAGCTTCAAGTGATGGAGGCTGACACCATACACAGCTTCAAGTGATGGAGGCTGACACCATACACAGCTTCAAGTGATGGAGGCTGACACCATACACAGCTTCAAGTGATGGAGGCTGACACCATACACAGCTTCAAGTGATGGAGGCTGACACCATACACAGCTTCAAGTGATGGAGGCAGACACCATACACAGCTTCAAGTGATGGAGGCAGACACCATACACAGCTTCAAGTGATGGAGGCAGACATCATACATAGCTTCAAGTGGTGAAGGCTGACACCATACACAGCTTCAAGTGGTGAAGGCTGACACCATACACAGCTTCAAGTGGTGAAGGCTGACACCATACACAGCTTCAAGTGGTGAAGGCAGACACCATACACAGCTTCAAGTGATGGAGGCAGACACCATACACAGTTTCGAGAAGGCACGGGAACCTGTACACCAGGTAACTTAGATTCGTGACGAAAACTGACTTAGAAGACTTACAAGACTTAGATTCGTGACGAAAACTGACTTAGAAGACTTACAAGACTTAGATTCGTGACGAAAACTGACTTAGAAGACTTACAAGACTTAGATTCGTGACGAAAAAGCTGACGCTGAGCCCCGTACAAGCACTTGTAGGTGTGTACAACCAGGAGAGTACTGGAAGGCCAACCTGTCCTCATACAAAGAACGTCGCATTTCGATCGTATGCGTTACATACGGCCAAATATTGTCCTATTAAAAAATGGAAGCGGCTGGCGAAAGTGACGTACTATCCCGTTTTCTGTCGTGGGTCCTCTAGTAAGTTAGGAGAGACCACTTTAAATTGACCGTTTTCTTGACCCTGGGGAAACCTTAAGAGGACGGGCAGGGAGAGCACAGGAAGCCACCGCCACCACGGGGCGCCCCGTCCCTGGCCGCCCGTCCCTGGCCGGCCCACCCCGCGGCGTCCCGTCCCTGGCCGGCCCACCCCGCGGCGTCCCGTCCCTGGCCGGCCCACCCCGCGGCGTCCCGTCCCTGGCCGCCCCGTCCCTGGCAGCTCCGCCAGAGGCTACTGCCCCGTCAACTTCACGTGCAGTTATGACCGTTAATATTATTGTTGTTATTATTGATACAGAATGTTGACCCGACAGTGGTCCCAAGTGCAGCAGTGTTGCCGTGATAATGGTTGCCCGCCCCAGCCAGTGTGTGTGAGTGTGCACCTAGTCAACCGTGCCATAGCCTGGCTCAGACGCTCCGGAGATACTTTGTAGGATATGCGCCAGTACAGATGATTGATATATGTTATCACCAGCCCGGTTATCACACATGTCCCCACTTCAAAGAGCAAGACTTAGGGGCACCAGTCCTCTAGACGAGTATAGAGCAAGGCTTAGAGGGTATCAAGCCTCTAGACGAGTATAGAGCAAGACTTAGGGGGCACCAGTCCTCTAGACGAGTATAGAGCAAGGCTTAGAGGGTACCAAGCCTCTAGACGAGTATAGAGCAAGACTTAGAGGGTATCAAGCCTCTACACGAGTATAGAGCAAGGCTTAGAGGGTATCAAGCCTCTAGACGAGTATAGAGCAAGACTTAGAGGGTATCAAGCCTCTAGACAAGTATAGAGCAAGGCTTAGAGGGTACCAAGCCTCTAGACGAGTATAGAGCAAGGCTTAGAGGGTACCAAGCCTCTGGACGAGTATAGAGCAAGGCTTAGAGGGTACCAAGCCTCTGAACGAGTATAGAGCAAGGCTTAGAGGGTACCAAGCCTCTAGACGAGTATAGAGCAAGACTTAGGGGGCACCAGTCCTCTAGACGAGTATAGAGCAAGGCTTAGAGGGTACCAAGCCTCTAGACGAGTATAGAGCAAGACTTAGGGGGCACCAGTCCTCTAGATGAGTATAGAGCAAGACTTAGGGGGCACCAGCCCTCTAGACGAGTATAGAGTAAGACTTAGGGGGCACCAGCCCTCTAGACGAGTATAGAGCAAGACTTAGGGGGCACCAGTCCTCTAGACGAGTATAGAGCAAGACTTAGGGGGCACCAGTCCTCTAGACGAGTATAGAGCAAGACTTAGGGGGCACTAGCCCTCTAGACGAATATAGAGCAAGACTTAGAGGGCACCAGGCCTCTAGAGCGCTCTAGATGGTCTCCCTGAACCTCATATTCCGCCGTTGAAAAATGAGGCGTTGGGTTGGTGTAGCGCGAGTGAGGTGCCATTCATCACCGCGCGCTGTGAGTGGCACTCGCGGCCGGGCATCAACCAGCGCCCCGAGCTGATTGGTCGCCAGGACCCCGAGGGCGGGGCAGACCCCTCCCTCGCCTCCCATTGGTTCAGCCGATGCCCCTCCGGCCACCCATATTCCGCCGTTTTACATGAATGAATATGATAAGATCCGCATTTTGTGAGGTGTTGAGAGTGGCGGCCGGTGTGAGGAGCGTGAGTGGCGGCCCGGGTCAGTGCCTCCTCACCGTGGACTCGTGAGGGCCAAGTTGCCAGTCAAGTTGTGTTTGAGTGTGGCAACGTGTGAGTGCCAGGGTGCCACACCGTCTGGGGACACCAGCACCACACTCGTGGCCTCCACCACCGTCTGGTGAGGTCAGCCTGGGTGTCGTCGCGTGTCGCCTCTCCCGCCCTGTGGCCTCTACACCCGCCCCTGTGGCCTCTACACCCGCCCCTGTGGCCTCTACACCCGCCCCTGTGGCCTCTACACCCGCCCCTGTGGCCTCTACACCCGCCCCTGTGGCCTCTACACCCGCCCCTGTGGCCTCTACACCCGCCCCCGTGTTCCCCCTCCGTGTGTTAGTGTTGCTACAGCATAGTTGTGGGCGTTACAGTGATAGTGTATAGTGAGGCGACAGTGTATGGTGAGGCGACAGTGTATGGTGTGGCGGCAGTGTATGGTGAGGCGACAGTGTATGGTGAGGCAGTAGTGTATGGTGAGGCAGTAGTGATGGTGCAGCGAGGGTATGCGGCCATGCCCGGGCATATGGTGCCCGTGAAGTGTGAGTACTCGCCCCCGCCCTACACCCTGCCCCTACAGGACGCCTCACACGCCCTCAACACCACCACACCGCCCACCTTCTCCTCCCTCATGAGTGACATGAGTCCTCGCAGCTCATGTGGTGGCCACGAGTCCCACACCACGTCAGGCGAGGACGAGCCGCGAGGCCACAAGCGGCGCCGCGACGAGGACAGCGAGGAGGCGCGGCTGGCCAAGGCGCGCAAGAAGTGTCCCCAGAGCTACGAGGAGCTGCAGCAGGCGCGCGTGCTGGCCAACGTGCGCGAGCGTCAGCGCACGCAGAGCCTCAACGAGGCCTTCAGCTCCCTCAGGAAGATCATCCCCACGCTGCCCTCAGACAAGCTCTCCAAGATCCAGACGCTGAAGCTGGCCATCCGGTACATAGACTTCCTGTACCAGGTGCTGGATACAGACGCCCACGACCAGCGCCTCTCCTCCTCCTGCACCTACGTGGCGCACGAGCGCCTCAGCTACGCCTTCAACGTCTGGCGCATGGAAGGCGCCTGGGGCGGACACCTATAATACAGGTCAGTTTACCACACGTCATTTACGGGTTATTCATGCCCATGCTTCCTCTTGGGTGGTTTAATCTTCATCAGTCTACCCTCCTCCCCCTCCCCCGGGGCATGTGACGTTGATGCAACACTGCATCAACGTTGATTCAATGTTGCATCAGCGTAATGTGGCCAGCATGCACCGGGGAGACTTGAGGCGGGGTTATCACTGTCTTTGGGGAGAGGTGAACATTTCTTGGTCCCGGAGGCTGTGTCAGGGGAGGTAGCCCCCGGAGGCTGTGTCAGGGGAGGTAGCCCCCGGAGGCTGTGTCAGGGGAGGTAGCCCCCGGAGGCTGTGTCAGGGGAGGTAGCCCCCAGTGGCTGTGTCAGGGGAGGTAGCTCCCGGAGGCTGTGTCAGGGGAGGTAGCCCCCGGAGGCTGTGTCAGGGGAGGTAGCCCCCGGAGGCTGTGTCAGGGGAGGTAGCCCCCAGAGGCTGTTCAGGGGAGGTGGTAGCCCCCAGTGGCTGTGTCAGAGGGAGGTAGCCCCCGGAGGCTGTGTCAGGGGAAGGCGACACCCGGAGGCTGTGTCAGGGGAGGTGGCCCCCGGAGGCTGTGTCCGGAAGAGGGAGTAAGGTATCAGGACGTGAAGGCGAGACTAATGAGAGGGAAGAGTCTGGGATGATGGTCCTCGACTCTCAGCCTCCTCACACCTAGTTATGAGAGGCGGACCTCACTCCACCGCCAGAGGTCCCTCTAATACCCAAACTCACTCATACATTTATATATATATATATATATATATATATATATATATATATATATATATATATATATATATATATATATATATATACACATGTATATACATATGAAAACTACGCTGTAAAACAATAGAGATCTTAAAAAGACTTTTAGGCGGGCTGTCTGCTTGGTCCATGGTGTGGGGTCTAGGGGGTCCCACTTTCGAGAAACTTTAACTCGTAATGTATAGTATATTGGTGGGGTGTAGTGCGTCACGACTTGCGTCAGGATGGTTTGGGTGTACTGCGTCACGACCTGCGTCAGGGTGGGTTGGGTGTACTACGTCACGACTTGCGTCAGGGTGGGTTGGGTGTACTGCGTCACGACCTGCGTCAGGGTGGGTTGGGTGTACTGCGTCACGACCTGCGTCAGGGTGGGTTAGGTGTACTGCGTCACGACTTGCGTCAGGGTGGGTTGGGTGTACTGCGTCACGACTTGCGTCAGGGTGGGTTGGGTGTACTGCGTCACGACTTGCGTCAGGGTGGGTTGGGTGTACTGCGTCACGACTTGCGTCAGGGTGGGTTGGGTGTACTGCGTCACGACTTGCGTCAGGGTGGGTTGGGTGTACTACGTCACGACTTGCGTCAGGGTGGGTTGGGTGTACTGCGTCACGACCTGCGTCAGGGTGGGTTGGGTGTACTACGTCACGACTTGCGTCAGGGTGGGTTGGGTGTACTGCGTCACGACTTGCGTCAGGGTGGGTTGGGTGTACTGCGTCACGACTTGCGTCAGGATGGGGGTGTACTGCGTCACGACTTGCGTCAGGGTGGGTTGGGTGTACTGCGTCACGACTTGCGTCAGGGTGGGTTGGGTGTACTGCGTCACGACTTGCGTCAGGGTGGGTTGGGTGTACTGCGTCACGACCTGCGTCAGGGTGGGTTGGGTGTACTACGTCACGACTTGCGTCAGGGTGGGTTGGGTGTACTGCGTCACGACCTGCGTCAGGGTGGGTTGGGTGTACTGCGTCACGACCTGCGTCAGGGTGGGTTGGGTGTACTGCGTCACGACCTGCGTCAGGGTGGGTTGGGTGTACTGCGTCACGACCTGCGTCAGGGTGGGTTGGGTGTACTGCGTCACGACCTGCGTCAGGGTGGGTTGGTTGTAGTGCGTCACGACTTGCATCAGGGTGTGCTGGGTGTACTGCGTCACAACCTACGTCAGGGTGGGTTGGTTGTAGTGCGTCACGACTTGCATCAGGGTGTGCTGGGTGTACTGCGTCACAACCTACGTCAGGGTGGGTTGGTTGTAGTGCGTCACGACTTGCATCAGGGTGTGCTGGGTGTACTGCGTCACAACCTACGTCAGGGTGGGTTGGTTGTAGTGCGTCACGACTTGCGTCAGGGTGGGCTGGGTGTACTGCGTCACGACCTGCGTCAGGGTGGGTTGGGTGTACTGCGTCACGACCTGCGTCTGGGGGGAGGGGGTGTAGAGCGTCACAGCTGGGTCACACAAAAGGTGTGTTGAAGCATCACCCGGGTGCAGCAAGTGTTCAGTAACACCAAAAGCAACGATTTCATTACACTATTTTACATTCCTGGGTTGAAGTCGAAATATCTACAAACAAACCCCGATATTCTGTATCTTCCGGAGCCTCATAGGCTACGCGGTCCACGTGAATCCTCTTATTTCATGTTGATAACGCGAAAAATTGTTGACTGTGTGTGAGGAATGAGTGTAGCTGGAGGGACAATGTGGCCGGACTCTTGTGTGTGTGAACACCAGACGGGATTATTAGTACCAACTCAACAACAACCCAGCGGGTTATCTTCCTATATTGGGGGTGTTGTATATGCTGCTATATGGCGGTATGGTCACTCACAGCATGACGCGCTGCCCAATAAACTCGCCCTTCGGGGCAAAATTGACTGTGAGGTTCTGTATAATCTGATACTTGTAAACAATTGTTACAACTATAGGCCTAGGGCGACCACAAGGGTTCGTATAACCCGGCACAGCTGTTATAGGGTGTAGTTCTGTCCTCGGACCTGTCAAGTGTTGGCTTATAACCACCGTCACGTCTTCCACCCGTCAACACGCCCGTCTCGTGTTTGTGACAGACACCTGCGGGGTCCGCAGTCATCAAGCACTTACTCAACAACATACAAACCTCTGAATATTTTATCAATCTCTGGCGGCTTTGTTTATATATATTAAACAGCTTATGAGCTCCGAATCACTAGGAATCTGTTTATAACAATAATTTTTGATTGGTAATTTTCGATGTTCGAAAATTATTTTAATGAGTGTAAACAAAGCCGCCAGAGACTGAGAAAAGATGTCCAGGTTTGTAAGTGGTTGCGTGAGTGCTTGTTGTACTCCCCTTCATATAGTCTAGGGCACCTACACAAAAACAAATGTATCTAAATGTGTTAATAGTTATTCGTAAGTATCCAGGTGGGAACACTTAAAGGTTGTGGTGTGTGAGCACATTATGAAGGACTACTAACAGACTTAACACTCAACAGTTTTGCCTGAATTAGTCCAGTCAATTGAATGATTACAGTTTCTTACAAACATGCATTGGACTTTTGACGCGCCCTCATACAGTACTATGTCTGTGTTCTTCTCTTCTTTGATCAAGATGTTTACCTGTTTGGCCAACAGTAAATATGTCTTTAACTGTAGCTTTTGACACACACTGTAACCTTTCATATAGTCGAGGACGACTAGTTAAATGCTCATGAATCAAAGTATGTTATTTCATATGTAATAATTATTAGTTATTAAAAATGTATATTTACATACGGAATAACATACATATATATATACATATACAAAGATAAATACACCGAGGAGTGTATGTATGCTGGGTATATACGCTGAGACAAAGCTCAGGGCATATCTATACTTGGTAGTTGGTTAGGAAGATGTTGTAGTGGGTTAGTAACCCCTAGAGAGGTTGGTTGGTGTCAAGACCAACACACACACACACACACACACACACACACACACACACACACACACACACACACACACACACACGAGGCCCTAGGGGCAGGGTCCTCGTAGCCTGGTGGATAGCGCGCAGGACTCGTAATTCTGTGGCGCGGGTTCGATTCCCGCACGAGGCAGAAACAAATGGGCAAAGTTTCTTTCACCTTGAATGCCCCTGTTACTTAGCAGTAAATAGGTACCTGGGAGTTAGTCAGCTGTCACGGGCTGCTTCCTGGGGTGTGTGTGTGGTGTGGAGAAAAAAAAAGTAGTTAGTAAACAGTTGATTGACAGATGAGAGGCGGGCCGAAAGAGCAAAGCTCAACCCCCGCAAACACAACTAGGTGAATACACACACACACACACACACACACACACACACACACACACACACACACACACACACACACACACACACACACACACACACACACACACACACACACACACACACTGTACACGATGGGACTTTGTGCTCCAGGACTAATGCTTCCTTGTTTAGCTTCGTGAAGAGTGATCCCGCTATTGTTAGTATACAAGATGCTGCTGACCTTATACTGTTTATATGAGCTCAGGAGTTATTCTTATTAGTTTATTTCTGGTCATCAAGAGTGTAGTAGTTTCCCTTCAGTGTTAAGTGTGGTGTTGGTCTCATGTGACCTCTTCCATTGTTTATCACACATGCTCATGTTAAACTCTTGTAGCCACTTCTCGGACCAACTCTCTCTCTTTAAGTCTACGTCATCTTGGACAACTTTACAATTCTCATCTATCTTGACTCTTCTCATTAATTTTGCATCGCCTGCTAACATCGACATATAAGACTCGACATTTACATAGGTTCTACATAGGTCATTTACGTAAAGGAGAAGTAGTCTGGGTCCAGCACAATCCTTAAGACACTACTTGATACCTGGTTGATGGGGTTCTGGGAGTTCTTCTACTCCCCAAGCCCGGGCCGAGGCCAGGCTTGACGTGTGAGAGCTTGGTCCACAGGCCCACATATCCACCATAGCCTGGTTGATCCGGCACTTTATTTTTTAACAATCTAGGTTTCTCTTGAAGATGTCCACGGTTGTTCCGGCAATATTTCTCATGTTCGCTGGGAGGACGTTGAACAACTGCGGACCTCTGATGTTTATACAGTGTTCTCTGATTGTGCCTATGGCACCCCTGCTCTTCACTGGTTCTATTCTGCATTTTCTTCCATTTCGTTCACTCCAGTATGTTGTTATTTTACTGTGTAGATTTGGGACCTAGCCCTCCAGTATCTTCCACGTGTATATTATTCGGTATCTCTCT